GGGGAAGCTGCACCCCGCAGGGAATGTTTACTTTTAACTGACAGGTCTTGAAGACCTGCAAGCAGCTCTTGCTTGTGTCGTTCTAGGGCTAGCTGTTCTTTTAACAAAGCCACTTCATTTCTTAATTGGGTGACAAGGGGAGAAGTGGGGAATGCCTCGAGGGCAGGTAAAACTGTTGGGAGAGGGTAAGGAGAAGCTGGAGAGTGCGCCTCCGAAGGAGCTGTAGGCACAGTGTCAGACTGAGGTGTCGTGACATCAGTGCTGGATTTAGAGTTAGGCTTTGATTTAACATGTTTAGGATTTGAAATCTTAGAACATGTCTCTGGTGACGTTTCCTCGTCACTCTCAAGGGAGATAAGGTCTATCTCCTTAGGGGAAGTTACTTTATCCCCGGGAGGCTCCGAAGGGGACCCTTGTAAGAGGCTGGAAGGGGGGCCCTGTAAGAGGCCGGAAGTTTGCTTTAAGGCAGCCTCCATAGAGGTTTCATTTGAATCTATTAGTTCCCTGATTAGGTTCCAGTAGGAAAAGGCTGTAACAGGAATTTTCTCGGGCCCAAAGACCTTATAGTAATCTTCTAAAGCATTCTTTACTCTTTTCCATCCTTTAATATCTATTATTCCTTCTTGGGGGAACCAAGGACAGGTTTCTTTAATAAATTCAAAGAACCGAAATAAATCCTCTATTTTAACCTTTACTCCTCGCATCCATAAGGCAGGTGCAATTGCCAAACATAAATTTCATGCCTGCTTAATTCTTGTCCCATAATCAGACGCCGATACTTACTTCTGGTTGTAGCCGAGGCAGGTTCCCGCGGCGTGTCCAGAGTGAAGAATTGTTGTGGAACGCGTTCCTTGGGGGCCGTCTTCTTCCCACACTGGATCCTCCGTATCCAGCCCTCACACTGGGCGCCAGATGTCCTGACCCACGAGACAGTCAGCGTGGGTTTCTGGAGGGAGGAAGGGGGATGGAAAGGGACAAGAGATGCGAAGAATGGAGACAAGACAGGCTTTCTGATCAAGTCTCATTTAATGAACATCTACACAAAGTTTTTATAGTGAGGAGAGGGGGAAGTTGGCAGGGACAAATCCATTGAAGTAGAGCAATTCAATTAAAAGAACGATTATCACAATAACACCACACCAATTGATCACAGAAATCCATTGAGGCAGAGCAATTCTATTAACAGAACAATTATCATAATAACACCACACCAATTGATCACAGAGTAAATTCCATAGTAACACCACAATTCTATATAGCAAGTTATGAATCAATTATAAGGTTACACCTGCATGATTACAAGGTAATACAAAGATGTTTTCTAGGCAGTTCCATGAGAAATGAGGGAGTCTCTCAAGCGGTAAGTGCCCGAGTTAGAATAACATGTTTGTGAGAGGCTTTCAAGTATAGTCATCTGGTTAATCTCAAACCAGGCCAGCCTTGATGTCTGAAAAACAGCTTTGCCAGGAATCAGGTCTTGCTATTTCTTGGGGTAGGGGCTTACAGCTCCCGACAGGGACAAGGGCCTTTACCCCTTGAACTATCTTGATAACTTTTACTTTGATTTATGTGCGTTAATTAAAATAAGATAGCTATGTAACAATATAGACATTGCAACAAAGTTTTTAGTCACTGGGCTTTTATGCTGATATGTGACTTTCACAAGACAGGTTATGAAGCACCTTTTACCTCATATTCATGGATATTTCTGAATCAAAACTCTTAATTTTCTTGTCAGTGCTGGGAGTTAAACCCAGGGCTTCATGTTTGTTTTATGAAGGCTTCACTACTGAGCTTACATCCCCAGTACTTTGTTTTTATGAAGTACTTTGTTTTTATGGGTCACCTAGGCTGGCCCCAAATTTGTCATCCTGATTCAGCCTCCTGAGTGACCAGAATTGCAGGCATTTACCATCATAGTCAGCAAAGAACTCTTGATACTTTGATTCCACTCAGAGACTAAACATCTCATAAACTAACAGAGCCAACATGATAAAGAAAATGATCGCATCATTTCTCCCTCTGTATGTGTGTGTATGCCTGTGCACGTGTGCATTATGTGTATGGATGCAGGTATACGTGTGTCATGGAGAATGTATAGGTGATCAGATGACAACCTGTATAGGTGGTCCTCTCCTTCTACCTTTTTTGAGGCACAGTCTTGTTTGCTACCACATACACCAGGCTAGTTGGCCCTAGAGACTCCAGGGCTTCTCCTGTCTCTGTCTCCCTTCTTGTAGGAGCAAAGGGATTACACATGCGCATTATCGTTTGTTTTGTTTTGTTTTTGGTCTTTTTGAGGCAGGGTCTCCCTGTAGCTCTAGCTGGCCTGGAACTCACTATGTAGACCAGGCTTGCCTTGAACTCACAGAGATCTGTCTGCCTCTGCCTCCCAAGTGCTGGGATTAAAGGCATGCACCACCACGCCTGGCTTATCATGCCTGTCTTTTACGGGGTTCTACGGATCTGAATTCAGGTCCTCATGTTTGCATGGGAACTGCTTTATCCACTGAGTTATCTCCCCAGACCTCATCTCTAACTCAACTTCTCAGAGGTAACAGATTTTTGAAAATTTTTCTTCTAGCATCTCATCCAATGTGTTGGCCACAATATTTATGAACTTTCTACTCAACATTTGTAAAGCTGCTAAATTCTCTCTCTCTCTCTCTCTCTCTCTCTCTCTCTCTTTTCTCTCTCCCCTCTCTCTCATCTTGAGACAGGGTCTCTCTATCATCCCAGCTGACCTGGAACTCTATATGTAGATCAAGCTGGCCTCTGCCAGCTCACAGAGATCTGTCGGCCTCTGCCTCGGGAGTGCTGGGACTAAAGGCCTGTGCCGCCACACCTGGCCCCTCATTGTCCTCTTTGTGTCTCACAGATGGAAATACTCTACTTCTGCTGCCAATGCCCCCTGGCACTGGGGATTTGTTGGTGTTTACAGAGATGGAGGGTATATTTTCACTTTGTCTAAATCAAAATCAAAAACGAAAACCAAATTCATTGACCTTCGACTGAACAGCTGGATCACAAGGGGAACCAGAGTTGTTTTTATCGATTTTTCAGTATACAATGCTAACGTAAATCTGTTCTGCATCATCAGGTGAGTGGCTTAAAACTTTTACCCTGGTATATTGAATATTTTTAAAGATCTAGAGCCTTTACTAGAGTTTACATTTATACATAGTTGTGCTGAGATTAAAATCATAAGTTTGAAAATAAATGTTAGTTCTACTGCCCATGAGGAAAGAGTAAAGCAACAATGTGCTCATAGTTGTTTCTTTATTTCACAATATATTTAGGGACATGGGGATCACAAAATGTGTTAGTTTTTTAAATATGTGTGCACGTGTGTGCGCACAGCACGCCTGTGCTCTATTGGTACGAGGTGTGGAGGTCAGAGGACAATTTTTTTTTTTTTGGCATTTTTGAGACAGGGTCTCCCTATAGCCTCAGCTGTCCTGAAACTTGCTATGTAGACCAGGCTGGCCTTGAACTCACAGAGATCTGCCAGCCTCTGCTTCTGGAGTGCTGGGATTAAAGGTGTGCACCGCCATACCCGACCAGAGGACAACTTTTGAGAGTCACTTCTCTCTTTCCACCCTGGGTTCCAGGAATCAAACTCAGATCTTGCACAGGAATCAAACTCTTACACGGAAATCAAAACTCAGGCTTGCACAACCAGCATTCTTACCAACTGAGCCATCTTGCCAGCCCAGAACATATGTGCATACACACACACACACACACACACACACAATGTCTTGGTTTAGTGTCTAAATGGGCTTCTGTATGTTTGTCTCAGAATTAATTTAAATTTCAAACCAAGGGCTGGAGAGATGGCTCACTGGTGAAGAGTGTGTACTGAAGCAAGGTATGGTAGGGCACATCTTTAGTCCCAGGACTCAGGAGGCAGAGGCAGGCTGAGCTCTGTGAGTTTGAGGCCAGCCTGGTCTACTCAGAACGTTCCAGAGCATCCAGGCCTTTATATTGAGACTCTGTCTCAGAAAAACAACAAAACAAAGTATATATTGCTCTTGCAGAGGACCCAAGTTCAGTTCCCAGAACCCATGTCAGGTGGTTCACAACAGCCTGGAATTCCAGCTCTAGGGGATTCACCACCCTCTTCCAGCCTCGATAGGTACTTGTAGTCATGTACATACACACACACACACACACACACACACACACACACACAATTAAAGTAAAAAAATTTCAAAAAACATGTAATAATAGCTATGTCCTAGAAATGTTTAGAGCACATGATGTACTTCCCAAATGGCCTCAGTTCTTATTTTTGCTATGTAATCTTGCAGTGGCCAATTCTAGCCCTTGATGCTAGGTTCAATCATGTGACCCACTTTGGCCAGTGAATTGTAAGCACTCAGCAGGTGGACGTGGGTTTGTACTGTAGAACTTGCTCTCCACGTGCCTACAGTCGCTATGAGAAGGACATTGTGGGCTGACTTTTGGAACCAGGAGGAGGATGAGAGACGCGAGCAGAGCCAGCTCCATGACGCTGAGTGGAGCAGTCAGATGGCAGACCCATTAGCAAGCCTGGCTGAGGTCAGTCAAGTGCAGCTGGATCAACTGACTCTGCAAACACAGAATATTTATTGTAAGCCACTGCCTTGGGATGGTTTGTTATCTAATAAAAAGCAGTTGCTACAAGGCCTAACTTGGGTCTTAGCTCTTTGACCTCTGAATCAGTTTGGAAACTTTTTGTTGTAAAAGAAAACCCCAACTTAAATTGGCTTAAACAACAGGAAATTTTTATTTCTGCCATGTAGCAGCAATTCCAGAATCAGGGCAAATCCCTTTTGTAGTGTGTTCAAAACCCTAGCTCCCTTTTTTTAAGGCCATTTCAGTTTTGTCCTCCTGGGTCCAAACTTAAGCTTCCCCCAAATGATTGTGTACAATAGCCATTATGATTATAGATCACTGATCTCCACAAGAAAGAGCAGCAAACAGAGGAGCACATACATGCAGGCAAAACACTCATATACATAAAATAAAAATAAATCTTTTTTAAAAAAGCCAGTGTGGTGGCATATGCCTTTAATCCCAGCACTCGGTAGGCAGATGCAGGTGAATTTCTGTGAGATTGAGGCCAGCCTGGTCTACAAAGTGAGTTCCAGGCCAGCTAGGACTATAGGGAGACCTTGTCTCAAAAAACAAACAAGATAGGAACTTAAGTCATATGAAGAGCTCTTTGTAATATTAAATCCAGAGTTCTTGTCTCTCAATTTTATGCTTATTCTGTTACTTTTTAAAATGTTATTTTTAGCCGGGCATTGTGGCACATGCCTGTAGTCCCAGCACTTGGGAGGCAGAGGCAGGTGGATCTCTGTGAGTTCAAGGCCAGCCTGGTCTACATAGTGAGTTCCAGGCCAGCTGGGGCTACAAGGGAGACCCTGTTTCAAAAAGACCAAAAAAAAAAAGTTGTTTTTCAGAAACCAGCAGGTACACACACACACACACACACACACACACAGAGAGAGAGCACAGCATCTCTCATCATATGATGCCTCAGCCATCAACAGATTCAGCCTCTCAACTTTGGAGCTCCAGAACCATGAGTCCAAAAGAAATCTTAAAACAAAGTCAGCAGATCACAGAACTGTCAACTGACCTGTCCAATCAGTAGTTGTTTTGTGCCCAGTTCGCGAGACCCCAAAGACCACCAAGGAGCCGACCAATGCAAACACACAAGGGTTTTTTATTGTTATAAGCTTAAGCTTGGGCCCACTCTGTCACCGACCCAGCGGATCTCAGATGTGAGACCCCTTGCTTTGGGAGACAGAGGTTTTTATAGGTTTATTTCGGCAAGTTCAGCAAGTAGGGGGGTAGGGGGTCTCCAACCTGGCAAGCATCTGATTGGTTGCCGCCCAGTGCCAAACCATAAACTGCTGGCTTCAGGAAATCAGAAAAGACATCTGGACTTTTAGTACTTTCCTGTCCTTGGTTAATTGACTGTTGGCGGGGGAGTTGTTCTCTATCCGTTCCAAGTACACTTTTTTTTTTTTTGTGGTTTCTCCTGGAACAGAGCTCAGGACTGGGTCAGTCCCATGGAGGTTTTATCCAAGATGGAGTCACTCAGGTCTCTCAGTTGTATAGAAGCATATAATGTACAGCACAGCCTCTCAAACTTTTTCTGCCTGTCACCCCTTTTCACATGAAATTTCACATTACCCCAGGTATATAGGTAAATAAAATAGATATGTAATTCAAACATTTACTGATAATAAATCATAAAATTTATTTTTAAAAATTATTTTATAGCCAGGCATGGTGGTGCACGCCTTTAGTCCCAGCACTTGGGAGACAGACATAGGTGGATCTCTGTGAGTGCAAGCCCAGCCTGGTCTACATAGTGAATTCCAGGTCAGCTTGGGCTACAGGGAGACCCTGCCTCAAAAAGACAAAAAAAGAAATCTTTTATATACATGTAAAGAATTAAATCTCAGCTGAATGTTTGATTCAGTAGGTCATAGGGCACCCTCAGCATTTTTCAGAGTTGATATTTTGATTTTATAATCATCAGTGCTGAAAAGACCACTTCACATAAATAGTATCGAATGGCAGACATATGTGGAAGGCCATTACAGAAATTGTTGGAAATCCTGTCCTAATTCCAAGCCAAAATTCATTTAACCATTTTTTATGAAACTCAAGTCGGCAATTCAAACAGCAAATTTTTTAAAGACAGGGCCTCACTATGTAGCCCTGGCTGCCTGGAACTCACACAAATCTCCCTGCCTCTGCTTCCTGAGTGCCGAGATTAAGGGCATATGCTATCACACACTGCTACAAACAGCAATTTAAAAATCAAACATTCTAACACAATTATTTGCTCAGGAATGATGGTAGGAAAATGTTGAGTCTTCCATAATTAAATCATGGGGGGTTTTGTTGGTTTTGTTGTAGTCTTAGGGGCAACTTTTTATTGTTGCCAGACTTTTTGTGATCCCCACGTTCAATCTAAGAAGCTGTAGTCAACGCTATGATATTACACATTTACTTTTCTTTTTGAGGCAGGGTCTCCCTGTGGTACCACCTGGCCTGGGACTTGCTATGTAGACCAGGCTGGCCTCTACCTCATAAAGATCTACCTGCTTCTGCCTCCTGAATGCTGGGACTAAAGACCTTCAACACCATGCCTGTCAAATCATGTTTTTATAGGAGCAGAAAACTCTGCATATATAGTAAAAAACACTGCAGATTGCAACATGCAGTAGTCTTGAATCTGTGCCAAGGTATTTCAGGCAGCCTGTTTCAGTAGGCGTTGTGTGGTATTATGGCGTGCATAGTGCAGAGTGCACAGGCTGTGTGTTCAGAACCAAGGCTGCAGTGCAAGGCGACTTGGGTGAGCTGCTAGAAACAAGTCTGATTCGTTATACATTTGATTTTGAATTGATTTTGAGTCATTGTGTGTTCAGAAACTTTTTACTATTGCCGGTCTTTTTGTGATCCCCACATTCAGTCTAAGAAGCTGTGGTCAACATTATGATATTATACATTTACTTTTCTTTCTGAACGCTGACAGAGAAAACTAGCAGAATCCTGGGTTTCTCCCCCTTTTTGTTTATTAGTCTGCACGTAAGGTCAAAATACTGTGTTTCTTTCCTCTCACTCATCAAGGTCGGATGCAAAACATGTGAAAGAGGACAGCTCTCTTTGCTACTGGCTTTTGTGTGCTTGTGTGTGTGTTAACAGAACTTTATTTCAGTGCCAACAATTTTTGCTAATATCTTTAGCTAAAAATACAGTTACATTGTAATAATATGACAGAAAAATACAATACGAAATTACTTAATTTACCTTAAATTACTCCCAATTCTCCATTATCTAAGGTTGTAGAGAACACAAAGAATTATAGTGAACAACCTCAAAATCTACATATTTAATTTTTGGAAATAAATTATTATACTTCTATTTGTATCCTGCTTTGTGTCCAACATCAAGTGCCTAAAGTAAACAAGAAAATATTTGTTTTAGCAGAATATGTAGTCTTAACTTTTTTTATGCTTTGAAGAATTATTTTAATTTTTTTATTTTTTAAAAATTTATTTATTTTTATACTCACTTCCCAGATGGCACCCTCCCATAGCCTCCCTCTCCCCACTAGAGCCCTTATACTCTGATATCCCTGCTACTGTCTGCTGTGTT